TGAGTTGCTGAAGGAGGGAGCAGCCTGGATGGCAGGAAAGCTGATCTTCCCCTTGCAGTCACTGCCGGCGAAGCCAAAAATGCCTTCATTTGGTTGAAGTTCACATGTTTCTGAATCTTCACCATGTTCTTGTAGAAGTCTGTTCTCAATGACATGTAGTTGAGGTCAGAGAAGATGGGGTGGTTGATGTGAAAGCCTCAGGTGATGATGTCCTTGGCGTTTTCCATGGAGAAGCCATAGGCCTGGTCCAGGGTCAGGTCTTCCACAGGTACTTCTAGTCATCTGCCATCTGGATGAGCAAGAGCACATTCAACATGTCCTGCAGCCACTTTGTGAAAATGAACTGGATGTGGTGGCCTACATGCATGGCTTCGGAAGAGGGGTCCCTCCCCACATACAGGCGAAACAGCTTCTAGTTTTCATAGGCAACGAGGACTTGGTTCATGTCTCTGTGTGAGAAGAATGTGCATCTGTGCAGGAAGCGGTGCGGTCTCTGGCCCCTGGCTCTCTCTATTCTGTTTATCAGCTCTTGGTCAATGTCACTGCTTCCAAACAGAACAATGAGCTTGTCATAGTCACTGCTTTTTGCACTGTTCCTCTGTACAGTTCGGGGGTCCACAAAATCCACTTCACCTTCCATGTCACCTGGACAACTAACCCAGGTGGAAGGTTCTCTGGAAGGCAGTCGGCCTTGTAGTTCTCCCCGGTTGTCACTTTGTAGCTCATTTTTAGCAATAACAGCCTCTTCACTGCAGAATCAATTTCATCCTGGGCTGTGGGGGACACTGAAGAGGTGGCCAGTGGAGTAGCTGAGATCTCTGTGCAGCTGGGCTCTTCTTTTATAGTCTTCCCCCTCTTACTGTTTCCTTTTTTAAGCCCCTTTCTTCTCTTTTCTTCCTGTTCACCCCACCCTGCAGCTATTTGCAGTAAGGATTTCTTAGAAATCAACCAGTTTCTCACAAACACTTGAGCCTCTTGACCAATTCCTCATGAGACAGTCCAATCAGGAGTTGGCTGTTAGTGCGTTGTTTGGGAGTGGGTGGGTGTAGAGACCAATGAAACCCATTCTAAATCCAAACTATTAGCTGGTCATTGCATCATTAGCTGGTCATTAGCCACCCCACACTGCAAGCTGGCCTCCATTTAACCTCCCCAGTCACTTCCCATCTCACTTCTTTAGCCTTAGTATGAGAACTGAGTTTACATGTGGTCCTGATGGGAGGAAAGGCAGACTCCAAGTGCCCTTTGGGTATTGTGCACTAAGGCAATGTTGTGAAAGATCAGTTCTGGGATCACAGGGACCTGAATTTCCAAATACAGCTTTGGCTTTTAAAAAAAATATTTTTATTCATTTCAGAGAGGAAAGGAGATGGAGTGAGATGGAAACTTCAATGATGAGAATTATTGATCATGTGCCTCCTGCACACCCCCTACTAGGGATTGAGCCCATAACCTGGGCATGTGCCCTTGACCAGAATCAAACTTGGGACCCTTCAATCTGCAGGTCAATGGCTCCACAGAGCCAAACCAGTTAGAGCTGGCTTTTTTCTTTTCTTTTTATTGCTGAAAGTATTATACATGTCCCTTTTTTTACCCCTAGTGCCCTCTCCCAGCTCCTTACCCCCAAGACCTTCACCACCCCAATGTCTGTGTCCATGGGTTATGCATATATGCACATGAGTTCAGTGGTTGAATTCTTCCACCCTCCCTCCACCCTCTCCTACTTTCCCTCTAAGTGTTGCCAGTGTGTTCCAGTCTCCATGTCTCTAGGTCTATTTTTTCATCACTTTATGTTCTTAGTTATTTTTCACATATGAGTGATATAATATGATATTGATCTTTCTCCCACTGGCTTATGCAAATTACCCACCATCTTTGTTGGGTTGATTTTCATACTCATCCTGATTGGCTGGGAGGCATAGCAGAGTGACACCAATTTGCATGTTTCTCTTTTATTAGTGTAAATATAAAAACCAAGTGCCTGAAACGACCAGTCTCTATGACATGCACTGTGGCTGGCCAACCAGCCATATCAGGGTGGTGCTGACCAGTCAACCTCTCAAGTTCCCTCCCCTGGGCTGGCCCAGGGTCAATTAGGCCGATTGGGGCATGCTGGCTGGACCCCACCCATGCATGAGTACATCCACCAGGACTCAAGTGTATATATATATAATTAAGAACAATGTCAAAAAATTTACTGCCTAGCTTTCTTCTAGGAGTATTATGGTTTTGCATCTTATATTTAAGTCTTTAATCAGTTTTGAGTTTATTCTGATATATAGTGTAAGAAAATGGTCTAGTATCATTTTTGCATGTATTTGTCCAGTTTTCCCAACACCATTTATTGACTAGAGTGATGGCGAACCTATGACACGCGTGTCAGAGGTGACAGGCGAACTCATTTTTTGGTTGATTTTTCTGTGTTAAATGGCATTTAAATATATAAAATAAATATCAAAAATGTAAGTCTTTGTTTTACTATGGTTACAAATATCACAAAATTTCTATGTATGACATGGCACCAGAGTTAAGTAAGGGTTTTTCAAAATGCTGACACGCCGAGCTCAAAAGGTACGCCATCACTGGACTAGACTGTGCTTATCCCATTGTATGTTCTTCTCTCATTAGGCATAGATTAATGGCCCGTATAGGTGTGAGTTTGTTTCTGGTTTATTCTGTTCCATTGATCTATACATCTTATGCCAGTACCATGTTGTTATGATTACTGTGGGCTTGTAGAATAGATTTATCAGTGGTAGCATGATACCTCCACCTTTGTTCTCCTTTCTCAAGATTGCTGTGGCTATTTGGTGTCTTTGTTTTTCCATATAAATTTTTGGATTATTTGTTCCAGTTCTATGGTCAATGCCATTGGTATTTTGATATTGATTGTGTTGAATCTATATATTCTTTTTGGCACTATGGACATTTTTTACATTAATTGTTCCTATCCATAAGAAACAGTATATGCTTTCATTTATTTGCTTCCTCTTCAATTGCACTCTTCAGTGTGTTATTATTTTCAGAGTTCAGACGTTTTACCTCTTTGGTTAAACTTACTGCTAGGTATTTTTGATGCAATTGTAAATGGGATGTTTTCTAAATTTCTTTTCTGATGTTTCATGATTGGTACATAAAAATGCTCTGGATTTCTGAATACTAATTTTTTATCCTGTAACTTTACTAAATTCATTTACCAGTTCTAATAGCATTTTGATGGAATCTTTAGGATGTCAGCGTTGAGACCATGGGAACGGACCCTTGGGGGCAGACAGGGCGGGAGGAATGGGTGTCCGGGCTGTGCTGAGAGATGGAGAGGAGACAGAGTAAAGGGGGCAGGGCAAGTTCACAGGAGGGAAGATGGGAGGGGAGAGTCCGTGAGGCTGTGGAGGCCGGGCTCTGCCGGCAGAGAGGGGGCCTTGATGGTGAACAGGAGGAAGTGGAGGTCGCCGGCGTCACCAGGCCGAGGACCGGGGTCAGGCTGTGGGAACTGTGGGAGCGGACGCCGACGTCATTCCGATGAAGCTTTGGGATTCATGCTGAGGCAACAAGCATTCCCCAAAAGGGCTGGGCGGCGGTTAAGGAAACAACCACATCAGGACCACGTTCACGCAAGTTGCTCCGAGAAACCAAGTGCGGTTGACGTCCTGGCAGCGGTCGCACTCGTCCTCACGGGTCACACTTTAAAACGCCGTGAAGGCCAGGGCCCAGCATGAGACGGGCATGGAATCCGGAGAAGGCCGGCGCTGCCCGCCTCCTCGGGCCCCCCTCACGCCCCCCTGTGAGGGCCCCCCGCCCCTCCCCCAGGCCCCTGAGCAACGGTCACTGCTTCCGGTCCCCTCAGAGCCAACCGCCACCGCCAGCGGCCCGCAGCCTCCCGCGTGTCTTGTCGCTGCAGCCGCCTGTCCCCGGTGCCCTGTCCTCTCCCGGGACCTTCCGAGACCCCAGCCGCCTGTCCCCGGTGCCCTGCCCTCACCCGGGACCTTCCGAGACCCCAGCCGCCTGCACCTGTGACCCGCCGGCCTCCTGCACTCCGCCTGGGCCTCCGACCCGCTCCTGCGCCTGCAGACATGGCCACTCCTCCGCCCTCCTCTGAGCGCCAGGGCTACCATCCAGACTGCGAGGCCGCCATCAACCAGCAGATCGGCCTGGAGCTCTACGCGGCCTCCGTGTACACCTCCATCGCCGGCTACTTCCAGAGGCCCGACCGGGCCTGGCAGCAGGGCTCCCAGTTCTTCCGGAAGCGGGCCCTCAAGAAGAGGGAGCAGGCGGAGCGGCTGGTGTGGCTGCAGAGCCAGCGCGGGGCCCGCGTCCTGCTGGAGGACGTCCCCCGGCCGCAGCAGCACGACTGGGACAGCGGCCTGGTGGCCCTGGAGCTGGCCCTGCTCCTGGCGAAGAGAGTGGACCAGGGCCTGCGGCACCTGCACCGCCTGGCCACCCACCGGGAGGACGCCCACCTGTGCGAGTTCCTGGAGAGCCACTGCCTGCACCCACAGGCGGCCTTCCTCCAGGAGCTGGGCGACCACATCAGCCAGCTGCGCCAGATGCAGGCCCCCGAGTCCGGCCTGGAGGAGGACCTGCTCCACAAGCTCACCCTGGGCGACGGACAGGAGCACTGACCGGGAATGCCTTCCCCAGAGCCGTGGGGTGGGGGCCTCCCTGCCCCGTGCCCGGATGCCCATGGCCACATTGCCCAAGCAAGACGGGCACCGCAGTTCCGTGTTCAAGGTTCGCTGTCTCTTCAAATAAAGTCATTGGTTCTTAAATAAATAAGGGTCTTTCTCTGATTCCTCTGAGCAAATCCTCATATTTCATTTTTAAAACTGGTATCCAGGAGCCTCCACCCAGGCCTCAATTAGGTGCAGCTCAGGACCCTAGAAGGAGGGAGGAGGGATTCTATAGGATCCTCATGGAGGGAGGAGGGATTCCATAGGATCCTGATGGAGGGAGGAGGTATTCCATAGGATCCTGATGGAAGAGAGAGGAGGGATTCCATAGGACCCTGATGGAGGGAGGAGGGATTCCATAGGATCCTGATGGAGGGAGGAGGGATTCCATAGGATCCTGATGGAAGAGAGAGGAGGGATTCCATAGGATCCTGATGGAGGGAGGAGGGATTCTATAGGATCCTGATGGAGGGAGGAGGGATTCCATAGGATCCTGATGGAAGAGAGAGGAGGGATTCCATAGGACCCTGATGGAGGGAGGAGGGATTCCATAGGATCCTGATGGAGGGAGGAGGGATTCCATAGGATCCTGATGGAAGAGAGAGGAGGGATTCCATTGGATCCTGATGGAGGGAGGAGGGATTCTATAGGATCCTGATGGAGGGAGGAGGGATTCCATAGGATCCTGATGGAGGGAGGAGGGATTCCATAGGACCCTGATGGAGGGAGGAAGGATTCCATAGGACCCTGATGGAGGTAGGAGGGATTCCATAGGATCCCGATGGAGGGAGGAGGGATTCCATAGGACCCTGATGGAGGGTAGAAGAGGGATTCCATAGGACCCTGATGGAGGGAGGAGGGATCCCATAGCATCCAGATGGAGGGAAGAGGAGGGGTTCTGTAGGACCCTTATGTAGGGAGGAGGGATTCCATGGGACCCTGAGGGGAAGGGGTGAGGGAATCCATAGGATCCTGAAGGAGGGAGGAGGGATTCCATAGGACCCTGAAGGATGGAGGAGGGATTCCATAGGACCCTGATGGAGGGAGGAGGGATTCCATAGGATCCTCATGGATGGAGGAGGGATTCCATACGACCCTGGTGGAGGGAGGAGAAATTCCAATGGACCCTGGATGGATGGAAGACAGATTCTATAGGACCCTGATGGAGGAGGGAGGAGGAATTACATAGGACCCTGATGGCGGGAGGAAGAGGGATTCCATAGGACCCTGATTGAGGAGGGACGAGGGATTCCATAGGATCGTGGATGGAAGGATATGGGAGGTATTCCATAGGTCCCTGATGGAGGGAGGAGGGAGGAGGGATTCCATAGGACCCTGATAGACGGGGGGAGAGGGATTCCATTGGATCCTGATGGAGGGAGGAGGGATTCCATAGGACCCTGATGGAGGGGGGAAGAGGGATTCCATTGGATCCTGATGAAGGGAGGAGGGATTCCATAGGACCTGTTTGAGGAAGGACGAGGGATTCCATAGGATCGTGAATGGAAGGAGAGAGGAGGGATTCCATAGGTCCCTGATGGAGGGGGGAGGGAGGAGGGATTCCATAGGATCGTGAATGGAAGGAGAGAGGAGTGATTCCATAGGTCCCTGATGGAGGGGAGAGAGAGGAGGGATTCCATAGGATCCTGATGGAAGGAGGAGTGATTCCATAGGATCCTGGATGGAGGGAGGAGGGATTCCATGGGATCCTGATGGAGGGAAGTGGAGGTATTCTATAGTATCAGGCTGGAAGGAGGAGGGATTCTATGGTACCCTGATGGAGGAGAGGTGAGGGAATACATTGGATCCTGATGGAGGGAGGAGGGATTCCATAGGACCCTGATGGAGCGGGGAGAGAGGATGGATTCCATAGGACCCTGGATGGAAGGAGAAAGGAGGCATTCCAAAGGACCCTGGATTGAGGGAGGAGGGATTCCATGGGATCCTGATGGAGGGAAGAGGGAGGAGGGAGGAGGGATTCCATAGGATCCTGATGGAGGGAAGAAGAGGTATTCTATAGTATCCTGCTGGAAGGAGGAGGGATTCCATGGGACCCTGATGGAGGAGAGTTGAGGGAATACATTGGATCCCGATGGAGGGAGGAGGGATTCCATTGGACCCTGATGGAGGAGAGAAGAGGGATTCCATAGGAATCTGATGGAGGGAGGAGGGATTCCATAGGACCCTGGATGGATGGGAGACAGGTTCTATAGGACCCTAATGGAGGAGGGAGGAGGGATTCCATAGGACCCTGATGGAGGGTGGAGGGATTCCATAGGACCCTGATTGAGGAGGGAGGAGGTTATTCCATAGGATCGTGAATGGAAGGAGAGAGGAGGGATTCCATAGGTCCCTGATGGATGGGGGAGGGAGGAGGGATTCCATAGGACCCTGGATGTAGGGAGGAGGGATTCCATAGGACCCTGATGGAGGGTAGAAGAGGGATTCCATAGGACCCTGATGGAGGGAGGAGGGATCCCATAGCATCCAGATGGAGGGAAGAGGAGGGGTTCTGTAGGACCCTTATGTAGGGAGGAGGGATTCCATGGGACCCTGAGGGGAAGGGGTGAGGGAATCCATAGGATCCTGAAGGAGGGAGGAGGGATTCCATAGGACCCTGAAGGATGGAGGAGGGATTCCATAGGACCCTGATGGAGGGAGGAGGGATTCCATAGGATCCTCATGGATGGAGGAGGGATTCCATACGACCCTGGTGGAGGGAGGAGAAATTCCAATGGACCCTGGATGGATGGAAGACAGATTCTATAGGACCCTGATGGAGGAGGGAGGAGGAATTACATAGGACCCTGATGGCGGGAGGAAGAGGGATTCCATAGGACCCTGATTGAGGAGGGACGAGGGATTCCATAGGATCGTGGATGGAAGGATATGGGAGGTATTCCATAGGTCCCTGATGGAGGGAGGAGGGAGGAGGGATTCCATAGGACCCTGATAGACGGGGGGAGAGGGATTCCATTGGATCCTGATGGAGGGAGGAGGGATTCCATAGGACCCTGATGGAGGGGGGAAGAGGGATTCCATTGGATCCTGATGAAGGGAGGAGGGATTCCATAGGACCCTGTTTGAGGAAGGACGAGGGATTCCATAGGATCGTGAATGGAAGGAGAGAGGAGGGATTCCATAGGTCCCTGATGGAGGGGAGAGAGAGGAGGGATTCCATAGGATCGTGAATGGAAGGAGAGAGGAGTGATTCCATAGGTCCCTGATGGAGGGGAGAGAGAGGAGGGATTCCATAGGATCCTGATGGAAGGAGGAGTGATTCCATAGGATCCTGGATGGAGGGAGGAGGGATTCCATGGGATCCTGATGGAGGGAAGTGGAGGTATTCTATAGTATCAGGCTGGAAGGAGGAGGGATTCTATGGTACCCTGATGGAGGAGAGGTGAGGGAATACATTGGATCCTGATGGAGGGAGGAGGGATTCCATAGGACCCTGATGGAGCGGGGAGAGAGGATGGATTCCATAGGACCCTGGATGGAAGGAGAAAGGAGGCATTCCAAAGGACCCTGGATTGAGGGAGGAGGGATTCCATGGGATCCTGATGGAGGGAAGAGGGAGGAGGGAGGAGGGATTCCATAGGATCCTGATGGAGGGAAGAAGAGGTATTCTATAGTATCCTGCTGGAAGGAGGAGGGATTCCATGGGACCCTGATGGAGGAGAGTTGAGGGAATACATTGGATCCCGATGGAGGGAGGAGGGATTCCATTGGACCCTGATGGAGGAGAGAAGAGGGATTCCATAGGAATCTGATGGAGGGAGGAGGGATTCCATAGGACCCTGGATGGATGGGAGACAGGTTCTATAGGACCCTAATGGAGGAGGGAGGAGGGATTCCATAGGACCCTGATGGAGGGTGGAGGGATTCCATAGGACCCTGATTGAGGAGGGAGGAGGTTATTCCATAGGATCGTGAATGGAAGGAGAGAGGAGGGATTCCATAGGTCCCTGATGGATGGGGGAGGGAGGAGGGATTCCATAGGACCCTGGATGTAGGGAGGAGGGATTCCATAGGATCCTGATTGAGGGGGGAGGGATTCCATAGGACCCTGATGGAGGGTAGAAGAGGGATTCCATAGGACCCTGATGGAGGGAGGAGGAATCCCATAGATCCTGATGGAGGGAAGAGGTGGTATTCTGTAGGACCCTTATGGAGGGAGGAGGGATTCCATGGGACCCTGATGGAGGAGGCATGAGGGAATCCATAGGATCCTGATGGAGGGAGGAGGGATTCCATAGGACCCTGATGGAGGGAGGAGGGATTCCATAGGTCCCTGGATGGATGGAAGACAAATTCCATAGGACCCTGATAGAGGAGAGAGGAGGGATTCCATAGGATCCTGATGGAGGGAGGAGGGATTCCATAGGACCCTGATGGAGGGAAGAGAGTGGAGGGATTCCATAGGACCCTGGATGGAGGGAAGAAAGATTCCATAGGAGCCCGATGGCGGAGGGAGGAGGGACTCCATTGGATCCTGATGGATGGAGGAGGGATTCCTTTGGATCCTGATAGAAGAGGGAGGAGGGTTTCTATAGGACCCTGATCTAGCTAGGGAGGAGGGATTCCATAGACCCTGATGGATGGAGGAGTGATTCCATAGGACCCTGATAGAGTGAGGGAGGAGGGATTCCATAGGACCCTGATGGAGGGAGGAGAGATTCCATAGAATCCTGATGGAGGGAGAGAGGAGGGATTCCATAGGGCCCTGGATGGAGGAGGGAGCAGGGATTCCATAGGATCCTTATAAAGGGAGGGACGAGGGATTCCATAGGACCTTGATGGAGGAGGGAGGTCAGATTCCATAGAACCCTGATGGTGGGAGGGAGGAAGGATTCCATAGGACTCTGATGTAGGGAGGTGGGATTTCATAGGACCCTGATGGAGGAGGGAGGAGGGATTCCATAGGATACTGATGGAGGGAGGGAGGAGGGATTCCATATGATCCTGATGGAGGGAGGGAGGAGGAATTTCATAGGACCCTGATGGTGGGAGGACGGACACCAGAGTATCCTGATGGAAGATGGAGGAGGGTTTCTATAGGACACTGATGGAGGGAGGGAGGAGCGATTCCATAGACGCTGATGGAGGGAGGAGGGATTCCATAGGACCCTGATGGAGTGAGTAGGGATTCCATAGGACCCTGATGGAGGAGGAGGTGTTCCATGAGACACTGGAATGAGGAGGAGGTATTCCATGGCACCTGGGAAAACAAAATTAACCTACCCCTTACAAACAAGGTATATGTGGGTGCAGTCAGGTGAATGGTCTTCGGCCCTTTGAATGTGGATGAATGTTCATGCTAAACGTATAAAACATATCCTTAAAATCACAGGTGTGCTTACCTCTGGAAAAAGGGTGAATTGAATGGGATTGGGCAGGGCCTAAAAGAAAGGATTCTTGTATTTAACCTACAGTTTTGGTTTACTAAAATGTGAAAATATTATCATTTGTTAACATCTGGGTAGCAAGATGGAGACCCCTTACTCTAAGAACAGAGTAAATGAAATTGCAACACTGCAGATGGTACTTGGTCAATTGTGAGAGCAAATAGCTGCTCTGTGAATAGCAGATCTGTTTTAACTTGTTCAGCTCATACCCTCCCACACCCCTACTTACATAGGACAGTAAAGATCTTTGGCATCTGAGCCTTTTAATCTCCCCAAACTACACTCCAAGACAGTGAATGAATGGAAGACAATTACAGACCTACAGAGAAGGGAAACAATAGGACACATTTTCCTAGAAGGAAAAAGCATTAGTGTTCCAATGTGAGAAATATTGTGCTTGCTTTGGCATCAGAAAGTGTTTCTATCCTACCTGTAAGCTCCATGCCATGTATCCCCAAAGGAGAAAGAAACTGAATAACTGACACACTCCACTCTCCCATTTTGAGCAAAACCCTAGTAGTGAAATGGACATCACAATTCTAGATCTGATCCATGCTACTTACCGAGGTGAATCAAGTAAGTCCTTTATTCATACATATAAATGAAAAAGGTTTTCCAGATGTATGAGGAAGGTAAAATAGAAGATCACAATAAACACACAAAACTATGTCATTTTGGGGGGAAACTCAGATAAAATATTGAAATAAAAGATAATTTTATGAAAAATTCCTATTCTCAGAATTTTAAGGGAAGAAAATAGATTTATAAAATTAAAATAAAATGTCTACTATAGAAGGAAACAATTAGAGGACAGATGAAGTACTTGCAAGATAGAAATATTTGCAACAGCATGCATTGACCTGGAGAGTATTATGCTAAATGAAATAAGCCAGTCAGAGAAAGGTAAGTATCACATGATCTCACTCATATGTGGAATCTAATGAACAAAATGAATCCATGAACAAAATAGATCCAGAAATAGAAAACTAAAAGGGAAGTTAGTGGAATAATCTGATGTTGAAAAATGTTGCTACATTACAAGTTATCGGAATTATCTTAAATGTGCTTATTATAAGTGATCAAAGTCATGGTAACAACTACCTGTAAGACACAATCTTCACATGCTGTCTATTTCAGAAGCAAAAAATGGGACAATTGAGAAAGATAACTACTCTACATCAGTAATCACTCTTCAGAAATATTTGCCTTGGGAGATGGCAAACAACTACAGCAGGCCCTTTTTCAATAGCCATATTTCCTAATGTTAACTGCCATAGCCAGAGTAGGATGAATACTTGGAAGATGCTGATGTTCATACAGTAATGTAACCTCTTGTATTTAAGAGTGAAGAGAGCTCTAGAAACATTATTTGGAACACGTGATGCTCCTTCATTATATTTTATTGGCTAATTATATATATATATATTCATTTCAGAGAGATAGGGAGAGGGAAAGAGAGATAGAAACATCAGTGATGAGAGAGAATCATTGATCATCTGCCTCTTGTAGGCCCCTACTGGGGATTGAGCCTTCTTGCCCCAACCACCTTGGCATGTGACCTTCACCAAAATGTTACCCGGGACACTTCAGTTCCCAGGCTGAGGCTCTTCCCGAAACTATTGAGCTCGGTGAGTCAGCATTTTGAAAAACCCTAACTTAACTCTGGTGCCGTGTCACATATAGAAATTTTTTGACATTTGCAACCATAGTAAAACAAAGATTTATATTTTTGATATTTATTGTATATATTTAAATGCCATTTAACAAAGAAAAATCAACCAAAAAAATGAGTTTGTGTGTCATAAGTTCGCCATCACTGCTATCAAATGATCCAAACCAGCTAGGATTCACTTGATAATTTCAATAACGGGTACATGTAATTTCTGTTGCACATCTATCTTTCCTCTTTGGAAAAAGTATATGTCATATGACAAATGGGGACAATAGTGAACTTTTAAAGGGGTTTGAATATACTGGGCATTACCTTTTGGCTACTTGTCATTTTTCCTACGAAAATGTCACTTCATTCTTATCCTTAAATGGAGATATTCTCCCTGTGCTTCATACTGCAGGAAACAACTATATCAATATTAATAATGATATTAATAATAATACTAATTTACAAGCAATGATTTCTAGAATAGATTGAGTTCCCATTGAATCGTGGTCACTGATTTTCTATTTCTTAGCTTCATATTTTAACTTATACCAACCATCTTAAGTCATCTTAGCTGTATTAATATATTTAATTCTACTTCATTGATTTGCAATCTCAGCCTGTTTCACTTAACACTTACTCAGAAAGAATGTACTTCAAGGGTGAAGTCTGAAGAAAATCTTTAAAATAATCAGATGGCAAAAATTGATGGGAATTTTATTACAGGGAAAATATAGTGTTTGTATCTTTAATTGCAATAGTTTGAGTATTGGACACACTGCCTCATACAAAAGGAGAATTGAACCAATGTATGCTGAATAAGTAAATGAATAAAAAATGTATTTTAGGAGAAGATTCAAGTTGCTGCCATGGTTGAAGAATTACATCTAATCTGTAATTTGTGTATTAGTGTATTATTGGCTATGACGAAGAAAAAGCCATGCTGCATTGAAACTGTAAAACACCTAATGCTACATGCTAAGGAGTTTACTATTAATTTTTTGGAATTTGGAGTAGATGGTTATCCTGAGTATTAGGGAAAAAAGTAAAATAGGTTGGTTTGGATTTTAAAAGAGGCATTTGTTTCAATAATGTGGGTGTGATCTACAATTTCTAATCATGGACAATAGCAAGAATTTACAGTACCAGGAGATGGACAGCCCGACTTCACAAAGGGCTGTCCATCTCCTGAAGATGTGAACACTCGTGGCCCTCAGGAGGGCTTTCTCCCCATGATGGCTCAGAAGTCGTGGGAGACCTTTGAAAAGGCCGACTCAGAAATTGAGGGAGATGAAACAAAAAAAAAGTAAATTATATTTTCTGCTCTGGCCAAAGTAGAGTAACAGGGATCAGATTTATGCCCTGGAACACCTGGAAAAATAATGAAATAAAGTAAGATAAATTTATGAAAGACACTGGACATCAGGAAGCAGGGACAGATGCCTCACAGATAGGAAATAAGTGAGGTAACTCCTATGATGTGTCCACATTCCTTCCGTTTCTAGGCCACAGCTCAGAGAGGCAAAGACCAGCAGTCACGCTATGTAGAGGAGATGGAGCTAAGACACTGTAGAGAAGAAGGTGGGTAGAGATCTCAAGGCAGACAACCAGAGAGCAAAATGAGAGAAAGAGACGGACCTCCAGAATCTTTCACCCCACAAGAATGGTTCAGGGGATTATTTTTTTTAATATATTTTATTGATTTTTTACAGAGAGGAAGGGAGAGAGATAGAGAGTTAGAAACATCGATGAGAGAGAAACATTGATCAGCTGCCTCCTGCACATCTCCCACTGGGGATGTGCCCACAACCCAGGTACATGCCCTTGACCGGAATCGAACCTGGGACCTTTTAGTCCGTAGGCCGACGCTCTATCCACCGAGCCAAACCGGTTTCGGCGATTCAGGGGATTATTGATCAGCTCCTGTGTGAATACATTATTAGAAGCCAGGAAAGAAACCACTGGAAAGGATTCTTGATAACTGATACTCACACAGGGCCTGCAATAGTGACCTTTACTGTCAGCCAGACTAGAACATCTCTAGATGCACAGGCATTAAATAATTTACGTGGAAGGGTCTTGCTTCAGTTGTGAGGAACAGTTAATTAACCATAACACGTGGTCTAACAGTATTTAGTCATGTACTAACACAAGGAACTGCTCTGTTTATTTCAATCAAATCTTAAAATGGATCCCAAAGAACCAAACTGTTTCCAAGAAATACAACAGTATCCAGAAAGGGCAAACATTATTTGTAAAAAGAAAATGGATGTTGAAGAACACATGGGTTTTAAATAAAGACAGGATCCGTAGTAGGGCACTGATCTATCCTTTGTCCTCAGGCTTTACTATGGCACAGTTTTTCTGATTATGTTGAAATGTTACCTTAAAAGATAACTGATCTTGATTTCTGAGGGGGATTTTGGGTGCCATCTTAAGTTGTATACCCAATGCCTCACTCACCTCACCCATATTTGGGCAAATATCAAAACCTGAGGGCTGTGAGTACATAGAAAACATGGCTCTCAGAAGCTCCCACCTATCAATTGTTACCTATAATTTATCCAGGAGAAATGAAAGTACTTTTATGAAGTTGTGAACACGTGAAATATTCGTGGCACCTTGATTTGCAAACAGCCGCCCAAGGGAGTGGACCTGTGTTCCAAGCTCTTGTCAGCCCAGCGAGCACGGAAGGCCTTTGTAGAGAACATTGAAGCCAGCCTGACCCAGCATCCCTTGGCGAACTGCCAGAATCTGGAGGAATCTCTCCCTCCAGACCTCCTGCTCAAGGTCCTGGAAGTGCTAGATCCTGACAGGGAGCTGGAGGACACGTGGGCGTATTGTGAGGGCACCAAGGAAAGAAAGAAGACACCCACACACCTGTGTGAAGAACATCCTGAGGAGGTCAACCTGGAACCTCCCCAGGCAGTGAACCTGGACCCTCCCCAGACAGTGAACCTGGAGCCTCCACAGGCAGTGAACCTGGAGCCTCCCGAGGCAGTGAACCTAGAACCTCCCAAGACAGTCCACAGGGAATATCCCTGGAAGGTCAACCTGGAACTTCCTGAGGAGGTCAACCTGGGACTTGAAGACCAAGCATACCTGGAAACGGCCAAGGAGAGCTTCCAGTCATATTTATTCAGTTTGTTTCCTGAGGAAGAGACAAATGCACCATGCACAATGGATATCCCCAAAGTTCCTGTGTTCCAAAAAGCAAGAACAGTTCGTGAATTCTGCAGATGGATCGATGATAATTTTGGAGACATAGGCATTGATGAAGAGGACATCATGAAAAAGTTTGAAATTGACTTTGATGTCCCACTCACCAGTAATGCAGTCAAAATAAAGAAAATAAGCCAGCTTCCTTTGAATATAAGGCCCTGCAAACAGCTAGATGCCATACAGCAGAGAAAATTCTCCCTGCAGGAAGGTAACTGGGAAAGGAAACTCTGAAAACGAGAAGACCCTTACAAACCCAAACTGGAGAAGATAAGGTATGGAGCATGGTACCTGGACCCCAAATCCTGGAAAAAGCTGGTCAATGGCCAGCCTTTGCCCGACCCTAAAGCCGTCCCTGAAAAGGAATATTGGACCTATGGAAGGCATCGTGAACCAGACATTACTGATGAACTTTATGCACCAATTGCCTTCAAAGATTTCATTGTTATCAAGGGCTACAGGATGCCAGGTGTGATTGAGAAGATGTTTATGAGGAAGGGATGGAACTATGAGTCTGTGAAGACTCCTATACACCAAGTAATGAAACTCCTCTCCAAACCCAAAGAGGAGGATTCAGGGGACAAAGAGGATTAGACAATTTTCTGTTTACTACTCACTTGGCTAGTGTGTCTCTCTCATTTTAACATGAGTCAGAATTCACCATGAGTGCCTCACTGTGTATGGACAATTTGATTCCACAACATCTGTACATTTAACACCTAGTGCTAATAAAAATCTAAATGACCTTCTGCTTGGGTTCATCAATGTGTTATGTATTTTACCAACTGTGAAGTCAATATTTACATATACTCCTCTTGGTTTTTATTGCATTAGGAGTATTATATTTTTATTTCAATTATTCATTAAAAATAACCATAAGTAAAAGAATTACTTAAAAAGGATCTTGTTGCCCAGCTGATGTGGCTCAGTGTTTCAGCATTGACCTATGAACTAGGAGGTCATGTTTTGATTACAGGTGAGGGCATATGCCTGAGGTGCGGCTCGATACTCAGTGGAGGTGCAAGCAGGATACAGCTGATTAATGATTCCCTTTCAACATTGATGTTTCTCTTTCTTCCTCTCTCTCTCTGAAAATCAATAAAAATTTATTTATTAAAAAATTATGCCAGCTACTGCATGGGATGAATCTCAAAGTAATTGTGCAGAATGAAAGAAATGTATCGCTCCAATAATATTCAAGTTATAATGCATTATGACAATTATTTTGTTAAGCACAACTTGTAACCCGTAGTCAAAGTAACTTTATGTATTGTTTGTGAATTATCTATGGCTATCTTTGCATTACAGCATGAGAATTTAGGAATTGCCACAGAGATCATATGGCCTGCAAGCCTAACATATTTCCTATCTGAATTTTTACAGTAAAATTTACTGTCCCTCTGGTCTAAAAGAAAAATATATTCATACATACATTAAATCAATGATGCCACACTTTAGCTGAAGGAAAGATGATACACACTCATCTATGGAATAGAATAAAGTAAAATATTTTCATAAAATTAACTATTTAGTTAGACCTTTTGGATCATTTTTCAAATCTGCCTATTAATTTTAGTATTCTTAGGGTCAAAAACCCCTGAGGTATATCATCATATCTTATAGCCCCTGTTTCTTGTAATGTCTTTCCATGTGCTGACTTGCCATACAGAGATTTCCCATGATTCCAATTATGTGGGTGTTAAATGTGAGGTAAGGCAGCCTGAACATGATAAAGACACACTAACTTTCTTCCCAACTGAAATGGCTAATTAATTCAATTGGCTGCCCACAAAGGTGGGTTGGCCAGGAAACATGGTTTGTATGTCATATATATATTCCACCCCTACACCCACCCCCCGTGGGACCAAAGGAAGTTTATTTAGGGTATTGTGTTCAGGAGTGGACCCTGCACCTCCATGGAGGGATTTCCTGGGATATTCTTCTGCATTCCCAGACTATACAGGGCAGAAGACTGAATGTTTCCCTTGGTGCTTGGGGCTGCTGCTTGCTCTCTACAGCCCAGGACACCAGCAGGGCACTGTTCCTTGCAATGCCTCCCAGTCAATCAAGTGTCAGGACAAAGGTTTCTACAAAGGACACCCATTCCCCTCAGCTGCCACAGGGTGGGGGCACAGTGCCTGTGCTCAGGGCCAGTCCCTGGAAGCAGCATGGGGAGGCTCAGGGAAGGGCAGAAGTTCCAGGAGAACACATGAGGTCTGGCTTTCAGGAGGTGAGCTGGAAAGTTTCTCCCACAGACTCAACTTAATAAAAGCAGCCACCTGGGGCTAATACTCAGTGTGAAAAGCAGCTTTCAAGCTGGGAGATCTCTGTCAAAAGCATATCCAGCATTTCTGTTTGTTTGTTTTTGGGGGGGAGGGGCTGAAATAGGCCTGTGCCCATTAAACTTCTTGAAATGAACACCTAGACCACAGGATCTCTAACCACCAGGCTTTAAGGATCTATGTGGAATTGTGGGATGTTTTCCAATGGAAGTCCTCCTAGGGGCGGAACTGGCAGCTCACAGGGTTTTTTTTGGAACGGATGACACAGGGAGAAACAGGACTGACAGACACACAGAGTTACAGACTCCAGGAACGGGAAGCCATGTGACAGAGCCTCTGGGTAAATTATGGTTCTTTCTGTGCAGATATAAAATGGGAGTTATTGAAAGTCGTAGGACAGCTTCTGGTGGGAGGAGGGTCAAGAACACTTTGACTATCTCCTCCCTGGCCTCCTTGCACCTGGCCTGGTGCTCCGCAAGGAGGGGCTGCAGGACCTGCACGAGCTCCTTCTTGGGCTCCCAGGTGAGCATGGCTCCACTGCTGTAATCCTTCCTGATCTGCTCCAGCTTGTCCTCATCCTCAAGGAAGAAGGTCATGTACGTGAAGGACATGTCCACCTGGCAGTTTTCCTAAAACTGCCTGTGCTCCTGGATGGTGTCTCTCCCGCCAGAAAATGCATGCTTGTTGACCTTGGTCTTGATCTGCTTGGCTGAGTCTGTGAGGAAGATGGGGGAATTGGGGTCGCTGGCACTCCTTTGTGTCTGAGTCCCCTGCAGGGAGGGGAAGAAGGCCGAGTGTAGCAGGGTGGTTTAGGATAGCAGATCCTGGGTATGACATCTCTTGTCATCCTGAAGTAAGGATCTTGGTTGAAGGCACAAGGGATGAGGCCCTGGAAGTCCATTTCGGCCCCGAAGATCTCTCGGAATTGAGTTGCTGCAGGAGGGAGCAGCCTGGATGGCAGGAAAGCTGATCTTCCCCTTGCAGTCACTGCCGGCGAAGCCAAAAATGCCTTCATTTGGTTGAAGTTCACATGATTCCGAATCTTCACCATGTTCTTGTAGAAGTCTGGTCTCAACGACATGTAGTCGAGGTCAGAGAAGATGGGGTTGTTGATGTGAAAGCCTCATGTGATGATGTCCTTGGCGTTTTCCATGGAGTAGCCATAGGCCTGGTCCAGGGTCAGGTCTTCCACAGGTACTTCTAGTCATCTGCCATCTGGATGAGCAAGAGCATATTATTCATGTCCTGCAGCCACTTTGTGAAAATGAACAGGATGTGGTGGCCTACATGCATGGCTTCGGAAGAGGGGTCCCTCCCCACATACAGGCGAAACAGCTTCTAGTTTTCATAGGCAACGAGGACTTGGTTCATGTCTCTGTGTGAGAAGAATGTGCATCTGTGCAGGAAGCGGTGCGGTCTCTGGCCCCTGGCTCTCTCTATTCTGTTTATCAGCTCTTGGTCAATGTTTCTGCTTCCAAACAGAACAATGAGCTTGTCACAGTCACTGCTTTTTGCACTGTTCCTCTGTACAGTTTAGGGGTCCACAAAATCCACTTCAGCTTCTGTGGCACCTGGGCCACTAACCCAGGTGCAAGGTTCTCTGGAAGGCAGTGGCTTTGTACTTCTCCCCCGTGGCCACTTTGTAGCTCATTTTTAGCAATACCAGCCTCTTCACTGCAGAATCAATTTCATCCGGGGCTGCAGGGGACACTGAAGAGGTGGCCAGTGTAGTAGCTGGGATCTCTGTCCAGCTCTTCTCCTCTTTTATAGTCTTCCCCCCTCCGGCTCAGTAGTTAAGCATCTACCCATGAAATACCGGTCATGGTTCACTTTCAAGTCAAGGCACATGTCTAGATTGTGGCTGTATCCTTCCTCCTGTCTCTGAAATCAAGAAAAAAATATTTAAAAAGAGTATTAAAACACAACCTTTGGAGCCAGGTAGAAATAAGTTCATATTCCAGTTTAGCCATGTTCTTATCCTGTGGTTACATGTAGATGCTTCACAGAATATTTTGGCGAGGATGTGGAGAAATGGAAACCCAAGTACACTGCTGGTGGGAATCTATTCTTGTGCAGCCAATATGGAGTTTCCTCAAAATATTAAATATGGAACTGCCATTTGTCTCAAGTGCCCATTAGCAGATGAGTGGATAAAAATGCTGTGATACGTTTGCACAATGAAATGCTATGTGGCAGTAATAAAGAAAGAACTCTTACCATTTGCAACAGCTTGGATCGATCTAGACAGTATAATGCTAAGCAAAATAAACCATGAGGAAGGTAAGTATCTCATGTTCTTACTCATATGTGGAATCTAATGAAAAAATAAACTGATGAATAAAATAAAAGCAGAGACAAAGCAACATGGAACAGAGTGAGGGATTTCAAAGGAAAAGCAGGAGTGGGGGGGTGGATGGGAATGATTAACCAGGGAACTTCTATGCATATATACTAGTAAATAACCCAATGTACATAGATAATATAGTGGTGAAGGCCTTGAAGAGGTGGATCTGGAATGGAGGGGTCAATGGAAAAAAAACACAAACATACAAAAGAAACATCTGTAATACTTTGAAAAGAAATAAATTTTGGAAAGAAAATAAAATGTGAAACTTGTTAATTGGATATTTTAAAATATCAGTAATGAATTTGCATATGCAACATTTTTTGTTCTTTGCATGTATGCTATGTTTTTCTCATAAGCTATAACAACATAAATACCCCAAGGACAATTTAGAGAGCCTTTATTATTATTATTATTATTCTTTAATATATTTTTTTATTGATTGCAGAGAGGAAGGGAGAGAGATAGATAGATAGAAACATCAATGATGAGAGAGAATCATTGATCAGCTGCCTCTTCCATGCCTCCTAGTGGGGATTGAGCCTGCAACCACCATGTGACCTTGACCAGAATTGAATGCAGGATCCTTCCTTCTGCAGGCCGATTCTCTATCCAGTGAGCAAAACTGGCTAAGGCTAGAGGGCCTTTAAATCCTTGATTGAAAATTTGTTATAAGCATCTTCAGTTTATCCTAATATATAAAAACCCAAGGTCCATAACATCCAAAACAACCGAAGACTCAACCGACCAGAAGTCAGTCCTGCAGCCAGTGCTGGGTTGCCCTGGTGACCCAGCACTGACTGCCGCTGCTGTGGGCACCACAACTCAGCACTGACTGCCCAGGGGGCTATGGATCAGGTCCATAGAGAGGCCTGGAGAGAGAAACAGGGTCTGATTCGTAGCCTCCATGGCAGATCTTGATCAGCCCTTCCCTCTCTCTTTCTCTTGGGGCCTGGACAGCAGCCGGG